ACAATCTCATGTACTGTAGTCACCGTGAATGCCGATCCCAATCTTACTGTGGCTTTGTTGGAAATCCAAATATCACATATTAAGCAGGCAGTACCTGCAGACCAGCCTAGCAAAGACATGTGGGTGAAATCCATGCAGAATTTGTGAAGAGGTGGTAGTTCTCAGCCCTGGCTTCACATCAGAATCAACTGAAGAGATTAAAAAATAAGCCCACCACGGACTAAGTGGAATTGTTCTGAGTGAAGTCAGGCATGATTTTGTAAAGCTGAAGTGACTGTAATATGCTGCCAAGGTTAGAACCACGGATTTAAAGGGAAATGGGAATTGATTAGTCATTTAAGGCAGTGCTTCTCAACTTCATTGTGCATGCACATAACCTGGGATCTTGTTGCAATTCATATTCTTATTCAAAAACTAACTCAGAATGGATCCAAGACATAAATGTAAGAGCTACAACTATAAAACTCTCAGAAGAAACAAAGGTGTAAATCTTCTTAACTTTGGACTGGGCAGTAGTTTCTCAGATATGACACCAAAAACATAGGTAACCAATGAAAAGTAAGTTGGACTTTAGCAAACTTTAACTTCTGTGCTTCAAAGTTGATCAAGTAAATAAACCCCACAGAATTGGCAGATGATGTATCTGTTAAGCATCTAGTATCCAGGATTTAATATAAAGAACTCTTAACATAACAATAAAAAGAGGAAAAAACAACCCAATTTAAAAAGGCACAAAGAATTTGAATAGACATTTCTCCAAAGATGATAAGCAAATGGCCAAATAAGCATATGAAAAGATATACAACATCATTAGGGAAATGCACATCAAAACCTTAATGAAATGCCACTTCACACCTGCTAGGATGGCTGTAGTCACGGCAAAGAGAAAGTGACAAGTGTTGGTAGGATTGCTGGTGGGAATGTAAAATGGTGCAGCTACTTGGAAACCAGTTCAGTAGTCTTTTAAAAGGTTAACCACATGAGCCCCAACTACAGAAGGAAGTGCTATAGATCCTCAGAGATTAATCCACTAGTTTGTTATTCAATCCTCTGACCTCAGAGCGTAACCATCTACTGCAACCTGACCCTTTACTTAAGATGGAAAGCCTACTAATTTCTCACTTCTTGAGAATGGAAGTTCAGGTTAAACCCTCTGAGCTCTGTTTTGTGTCCTCAAGATAAATGTGTCAAATCTAGGCCTAAAAGACCTTGGTGACAATGATATCTGACAAGTAGAGGGAAGAAAAGCAGTGCCTGTCATCCAGGAGCTGGCCTTACTACTAAAAGCGAGGTCTCTCTGTCCTTCTGAATAATTTCACAGAATACCTACATGGCTACAAGACTGCTCTGTGACCAAAGTCAAAAGATCCATTTTGTAATCGTGCCTGCACACAGAGAAAAACATGAACGTCATCCGTTCCACAAAAGTGACCAAATACCTCCCTGTCCTGGACACGTCTTGATGAATGATCGCTCTTAGCCTCAGTTCATTTCTCTCACCTTACTAAGATACCCAATCATTCCCTACTTCCTCCACAGCTTCCTTGAATCCCCCCCTCAAATCACCTAATGTGTCCCAAATTTAAGTCCTTTTGTGACATCTTACTGAGATTCCCCCATGGTGCTGAAGGTCTTGTTCTCTGTTATGCAACGACTAATAAACCCAACTTGTATAATGCAGGTATGTTCCTGCATCATCTGGAGCTGAGTAGTGGCTGCCCTTTTTAGATAATGCATGCATTTTCTATTGTGCCATAGTCCTCACCATTCCCTAATGTCTGCTATATCTCACCATTATTGTTTTTGCTTAGGCCCCCTGGGCATTCAAATGTGCAGGTCCTACCATTGACTGTCACGATTTGGGGATATTTCCCCCACACAATCTGATTGGATCCTTAGTTGAGCTATGTGTTAGATATTCAGCTTGAGGTCTTGGGTCCTCCTGCGTGATGGCCCATGACTTTCCATCTGTAACCCAGAAAGTGAAATTCAGTTTCTATAGCATCTAAGGCCACTGGGGGAAACTCCACTGGAGGGATTGAAGATTGTCTGGAAATCGGCACCAGGCTGTATTTTACACCTGAGATTCTGTAAGGATTGAAAACACCTCCCTACATTGAGGTCCAACACAACCTTGTAGGCTGGATGTCCTAATATTCTACTCCTTGGTAATTGTTAGCATTCACAATGCCCATAATACAGTTAATACTTTAATTTCAATCATTTTGAACATACAGATTCGCTATTCAGTGAAGGGAGAATAAACTTGCATGGTAGTTTCAGAAATTAAAATCTGGTTGATGGTATCTTTGGTTAGGGCCAGCCTGTTTTAATTTCTCCCTTCTTGCACTCCCATCCACTGAAAGATAGTTTGCTCATCAGAGCAGTCTCTAGAGAGGCCTGGCCTGACAGTTCTGGAACTTTGGGGCAGCTGGTGGGGACACCCCGTAGTGGTGCCCTGCCCATTGTTACCCAGTGACTGTGTGGCCGTGTCGTGCCTGGAGCTCAGTCTTGTCCGGCTCCTGGTTGCAGAGCTGGTGGACGGCAGATGTCCGATTCCGGTCAGGCCCCCGGGCTGGGCAGGCGTGGAAGCAGACACTGGCAGCGGTTAAGAAGGAAGACCTGGGGCGCCTGGGTGGCTCAGTCGTTAAGCGTCTGCCTTCGGCTCAGGTCATGATCCCAGGGTCCTGGGATCGAGTCCCACATCGGGCTTCCTGCTCAGCGGGAAGCCTGCTTCTCCCTCTCCCACTCCCCCTGCTTGTGTTCCTGCTCTCACTATGTCTCTCTCTGTTAAATAAATAAAATCTTTAAAAAAAAAAGAAGGAAGACCTGTTAGAGCCCAAAGACTTAAGATTCACCTACTTAGCAGGGGTTCATAAGCTCCTCCACAGCCGGGAAGGCAGAGTAGGGGTCTGTCCTGTGGCCACGCGGCCTCGGACGCCAAGGGTGACAAGCGTTAAGAGCTAGCATTCGTTGTGTCGGCTGTGGTCTCCACACCGTGCGTGTACTCTCAGTTTTCACAACTTTATGAGGCAGGCGACGTCTTAGAGGAAAGGAAAACGTTGAACCTACACTTCCTCCCGTGGAGTAGGGGGCAAGATGGAGAATTCCTGCCAGAGGGGGTGGTTAAGTGGTATTTGCAGGGTGGAGACAATCATTGGCATCTATCTGAGCCACAGCAAACAGGTCTCACCTGCCTCTTCTTTGCAGGTCATAGAGCCTGAGCAAGGGTATGGTCAGGGCTGGGTGGGGAGCTGCCTTCCACTGCCCCCAACCCAGGGACAGGACCCATGGCTGCCTGCCAGTGTTCTCAAGGGCTGGGAGAGCGGTTTGTGCTTGTGGTGTTCCCCGGGGCCGCCAGAGGGCAGCACTGGCGCATGCCTTGGGCTCCCTGTGTCCATCTCGGGATTTAAGCAGTGGTTCTCAACCCCAGGAGATCCAGTGCCTCTCTTCATTTTTAACAACTATTTTCTGATGTCCCACTTCCAGAAGTGAAACTGATGTCTAATAAAACTTACCCCAGCAAATAGTAAATATGATACCTTCCCTCTAAAGGAGAAGAAGGGAGTAACTTGTGATAAACTATGGAGTTTCAGTATGTAACACTTGGACACAGTTGCCCTAGACCAACACAGTGGAGCAGATGGGTGCTTGTGCCTATGGGCTGATCACTGTGAGTGAAGAATTACAAACGCAGGTTGATGTAGGTGTGTTACATTCGTGACAAAAACACACTGTGATTTTTTCTGACATGGTAAACAACTCCAGGTAAAATTAAAAAAGAATACAGTTGTTCCTTTTTGGTACTCTTGGAAATTTCACTGTACATTATAACTGCAAAAACATTTTTATTTATGCATATAATAGCTTCTGTGCTCTTATAAGCAGGCTTTCTCACCAGGTCCTACGTGACAGTCCAGTGGAATGAAAATCAGTTCTTTTTTGTGAGCAATGGCCTTCACTAGTCCCCACCAGCTGCCCCAGGCCTTCGCCTGTCCTTCCACCCTGATGGAAGCCACCCGAGAGCCAGAGCTTTGTGTTGCATGACAGGTCCGCAGACCCTGCAGAGTGCCCATCACGGTATCCAGTCCAGACTCACTGAGGACAGTGGACTGACTGAGTCCTTCTTCTGTGTCTGGGGGTGACTCTCAGCCAGCCTGAGTCTGTGGACTGGCCAACCTGAGGGCTTGGACCCCCAAGTACTGAGGGCTGATGCAGACTGAAGCCAGGCAGGAGATGCCTCTCAAATCGCCTGGCAGAGAGGAAGATCTGAGGCTTCATGGTTTCTTAAGCAAGGTCTGTCTACCCAGAAGGGCCCTTTCACTCCCCTGGCACCCCTGGCACATATTCTCTCTCTAGTTCCCAAGACAGGCTGCATGCCCTTGTGGGAAAAAATAGGTAACTGGTTCCAAAGCTCACTTTCTGGGCAGGGCTAATCAGTGGCCCTGCAGAGTAGCTGCATTCTGGGGCTAGGACAGAGGTTAGGTTAGGATAGGGGGATAAGGACGCTTCTTTCTGGAGCCTCTGGGGGAAGGGCTGAAACGCAGCCTGTGCTGGCCCAGAACGTACCAGTGCCTCCAGCCTCCCGCACAGCCTCACCCAGCCCGGCTGCCCCTGGCCCATTGCTGCCCCGGGGGAGGGGGGGGGGGAAGGTTCATTTCATGTCAGGCCATGGCGGCTCTGGTGCTCCTTCCTTGTCTAGAGTCCCCTGCTGACGACTTTAGCAGCAGGAGGGCAGGTGGCTGCCACCAGCCTGGTCTCACAGGGGTCTCCGTGAAATGAGTGGGGACAGTTGGGTCAGTGAGTCCCATGCTTCATCCACTAAAGTTCCACCTCTGCAATTTTTTATATCCATGAACTATATGTGCTTTTTATTTATTTATCTTGAGATGATCCAAGGAAAGAGGATTAGGAAGCGTGTGGTGTGACGGGACTTATTGGTGAGCGGTCGATTTTGTACACGTTTCTGCTCCTGGGACCAATTTCCAGGGGATGCCAAGGATAGCCAAGTTTCATTTATTTGTTCAAATACAGACACAATCAGGGATGTTTTGAATAAGGTTGTGATTTACAGTATCGATTATAGGATTCCCTCTGATATCTGATTAGGTCACAGGAATTTGGATTTCTGTTGAAGCTTTACTTTCAAAGTTCCCTCCTGTCTCCTCCCCAGGTGCCAGAGCACAGATTCCTAAAAATATACCCAGACAAGTATAGCTCAGTACACTAGGGTTTGGTCACCCCAAGAATTTAGAATATGGTATTGGCAAAGACACTAGAACATAGTTTGGGATGATGGGCTAGAGATGTCTGCTTGATTGTTCTGGACCCCCGATCTGAAACCATTCTCATTTTAGAGTTTCCGTGATTGTAGCAATTATCTCTGAAAGATTTTTGTCTACACTGATTTGGATGAAATTTTCTGGAGCCGATGGGGGCTCCAAAATATCAAACTGGGACTGCAATAACTCAGGGGGCATAAAATGTCCTTTTCTTTCAAGTAAACGTCTAGAGATGACCTCAAACGACCCACTCAGATGGACCACAAGGAGCTTCACCTCAGCTGGCTGTTTGTCCTTCCCCGTCTCATCACACTTCAGGGGTGCACAATCTTTTCCTCGTATTAAGATGTCTCTGTACACTTTCTTCAGAGCCGAACAGGCTAGAACCACATGCTGTCCAGAGGCTACATCTCTGTTAAAAAAGGGGGGGAGTGGGACTAAAGAATGAGGACCTTTGAAATAACTGGTGTCGATTCTAGGTTGAAGACTCTGGTCCTACTTCTCTGCCGGTGGAAGGCATTACAAAATGGTGGTCCTGGCTTTAAGGTAAAGATGTTCCTTCCACTAGTGAACCGAGCTGTCTTGGGCAAGGTATTTACCTCCCTGAGCATCAGTTCATCATCGGTTAAATGGGGCTACTTAGAGCACCTGTCCATAGAGTTGTGAGGAACCGTTTATCCAGGTGCCCAGTGCACAGGAAGTGCTTGGAAGGGTCAGCTCTGCTCCCCAGCCACCGAGTGTGGACCCGGATGGCTGCTGGCGGGTGCCTCTGCCACGCACACCTCCGCTCAGGTGTTCCACGGGCGTTCCGTGATTTACATCTCACAGCTGGCTTCTCCCCGTTCCCGCTCTACAATATGCTGGGAGTCTGGTGAAGTTACCAGTGCAGAGCTGGAGCAAGCAGGAGAAAAGGGGAGTATCAGACTCTCTGTGGTCAAGGTGAGCAAGGTAAGAGAAGCGTCCAGGGATGTGCTAAGAAAAAACCTGAGCCAGAAGTAGAGGCAGAGTGACAAGGCACCACGAAGGGGAGCCAGCGTGCTCGAGACTGCCCATGTGAGTGAGCCCCCACTGTGCCCCCGTCCGTGGTCAGGAGAGGTCGCCGTCTTCTGGCTGGGAAGGGACTCGAGTAAAGAGGTGGTGAAGGGTAAACCCTGGCTTGGGTACTTGGTAGAATGTTTTCTTCATAACTGAGAATTCTGAAGGCGCCTGCCTTTGATCTATGGCCAGTGTGCACTTGAGATCCAGTGGATGGAGTGTATCATCAGCAACGAACTTAGGTACCTGGGCCTTCTGCTCTTCCCAGAGGTCATGGGTGAGAGCTTGTTTATTCTGGGTCTGAATGTCTGATTGCTGCTCTCCTGATCATCTTCATTTCTGCTTCCGTCACAGGTCAGTGTATTTGATCCCTGAAGAGTCTGCTTAAGTTAGAGACCCAGATGGGTAGGAGTTCTGAAACCCTGAAGCCCTAAACCCCTGAACTCGAAGCCTATGCAGAGACAGGGTGGCTGGCTAGGTCAGTGCGGTGTGGAAAAGGAAACTGAACTTTTAATCTTAAGTATATTCTAATTGCATATGGTGCAGATGGTTTTAGATTTATAAAATATGAGATGTCATCTTCATTTTAGAAAGCAAGATTTATAAGCCATTCCCTGCCTTTTCTTTATCCTTCTCCACATCCCAACCAGGATTCCCAGGGGTCAGGTCGCCAGATGGGTGGAGGGGACCTAATTTGCTCAGAGGCATGATACAGGGCAGACAAATTGGGACTCCCAATTCTGGTGACCTGTTCACTTACAAATGACCCCACGTATTCCCTGGTTGCCCCAGCTTGAAGTGGGGGGTGGGAAGAGGTGGAGACAAAGATGTGACTAGAACAGTCAGTGGTGGCTTCAGTTACCACCTTCCCAGCACTTTCGACGTTTTAGAGACTGTTCTGAGTGCCCCCCATGCCCCATCTCACTAATTCTCACAGTGATCTGTGAGTAGGAACTATATCCCTATTTTCAAATGAAGAAACAGGCTTATGGAAGCCAACTGGCTGACCAGGATTCCCAGATGATAATTGCGGAGCTGTCTAGAAGGTTCATTTCCAGAACCCAGCTAAATTACACGTGGGTTCTGGCTGATGTAAATCACTGTTGATTACTTGACAGAAGTGCCCTCCATTTCTGGGATCCTTTATCATCAGCCAGGTGTGATTTCAAGAATGTATTTTTTGCCTCTACTTTCTCAAGTTTTCTTTACTCACTGGCTTATGCCAAAGTCTCTTACCTTAGTAAAATGTCATGTAAGTTGCAGAGCCATGGAATCCTGTCCTGAAATTAAAGCAGACACAAAGTTACTTTCCCAGGTCTTGTTTATTTATACAGAAACACAGTTAATCGTGTTCATCAGTGTTAAAGTCCAGAGAAATCTTAGTGGTTTTGAAAAGTAGGCCATGACAAGGCTGCAGGGTCAAGTCTCTGGGCAGTTAAGCAGTGACATTATGATGGGATTAGCGCCCTTTGAAGAAGAGACCAGGGAGCTATGGTGTGCTTGCCCTCCTGTGCTGTAGCCTCTCCTCTCCCCCACACCTGCAAGCCAGGGAGAGGACCCTCACCAAGACCCTGACCATGCTAGCATCCTGATCTTGTACTTCCAGTCTTCAGGACTGTGAGAACTGAATGTCTCTTGGTTAAGCCCCCAGTCTGTGGTATTTTGTTACAGCGGTCCAAGCTGACCAAAACTCCTCTGAAAAACCATCTGGGCCTGGGGTCTTTTTTGAGGGGAGATCTTGGATTACAGATTCAATTTTTTTTAATGAGCATTGTTATGTTCAGGTTTTCTATTCTTGATTCAGTTTTGGTATCTGAGATAGCAGGAAGAGACCACACATAAAGTTAGATCTCTGGACCCTCCTGATTCTTAAGCCAGCTGCAGCATCAGCAAGGTCTTAGTTCCATGTGGGGGAAAAGCGGAATAGGCTCTGTCACCATATTTCTGCCATCCAAGCCCATTTTCCCACAGTAATTTATATTTTTCTAAGAAATTGTCCAATTTAAGTCTTTAAATATACAAACATCAGTTTGTTCACAGCCCTCTTTTCATTCCTACTCTTCATTGTGCCTTTTTCCCACTCTTGATCAGTCTTGTTAGAGATTTGTCTATTTTTTTTTTTTCTTCAAACAGCATTGCTCATCACCTACATAGTTTCTTTGGCTTATATTCCATTAATTTCAGCATTCATTTCTGTTTTTTTCCTACATTCTTCCTTTTTGTTTATTGTTTTTTTCCTACTTGAACACTTAGCTCATTACTCTCCATTCTTGTTATTTTTCCGGAAATGCTTCCAGAGCCCATGGATTTCCTTCTAAGTAGTGTTTCAAAGGCATCCCATAACTTTTGGTTGACAGCACTTTTGTTGTACAAAAGTGGAGGGAAGGGCATAATCCAAGACTGGGAGTATTAAAGATGGTATACAGACACTCTTTAGTAAACGGGTGAAGCAGATGCTTCTTAGCCCTGGTGAGCAGGAGGTGTGGGAGTTGGCGGTGAGAAAGATCAGGAGAAACCGTCTTGACTGGTGGTCAGGAACCTGAGTGACTGATAAGAAGGCTGGGCTTTACTGTAAGGGTGTTAAATAGGAGGACTTGGAGGCATGAGCTCCAAATTCTGTGTTCACATTTGTGATGAAAGGGAGTGATTTGAGATCCCCTCTTCACAAAAGCAGAAATTGGAAAGAAGAGATATTAGAGCAAATTCACTCAACTCTGTGAGTAGTTACTACAGATGATAGGATAAATTATGAAAGTCAAACACACAGAGTCTTAGGGGGAAGAGAAGAGGAAACAGCATAATCCAAATGAGCATCTCTGCTTGCTGGGTCTGACATTCAAGGTCATCTCATTTCTGATGGTGTCCCCTGCCCCCAGCCCAGTGCTTGGAGGTAGTGGGCACAACATCTGCTAGAATGTTCTAGCAGGAGTTCAATCAGAACATCAAGAGGACAGGGAAAGATTCCTGGGCCTGTGGTTTTGGTGATGTGATGGAAACATCTAGAGACATGAAGTGTCTCCTGGAAGGGGATGGTGGTTAAAGGGAGAAGGGGAGTTGGAGCTCAGAGGAACAACTCAGGAAACTGAGTCGTCCCAGCGCTACTGGGGGAGGCAGCGGATGGAGCGGAAGGAAGGAGCGGGTGGGGAAGAGCAGAGGCCAGGGACCGGTGTTTACCTGGTACAAAAATGAACTTGAGACCACAGAGGAAATAACACACGTGAAAAGAATATATACCTCAAAAAAGATAGAAAAAAAACCCCAAAATTCGTAGGTATTTTTTGAAAGATAAAACCAAGAGTGATGTATTCTGTAAAAACATTTTCAAGTACTTTCCAAATTTTCCATACAGGGCAAGTGTTACATTTATAATCAGGAAAATTTTTCTCAAAAACCCCCTCATTTAACAGACTTTGAAATCTGCTTCAGTGTCACTGCGGGCTGCTGGACAGCATGGACCTGGCTCGAGGCGGGGGACACTGCCTGGCAGCTTGCAGATCCTTTATCAGCAACAGCATCATCACACTAGTAACATCCTGTCACAGCCTGGGGGGTTTATCTGTCTAGGCCAGTGCTGTCCACTAGAGCTTTCTGTCGTGAGGGAAGTGTTCCCTGCGTCATCTGGGTGGTAGCCCCGGGCCACATGCGGCTACTGAACACTTGGGCAGTGTAACCCCGAGAACTGGAGTTCACAGTTTATTTTGTATTCATATACATTTAAATAGCCTGAAGGAGCCCTTGGAATATTCAACACAGGTTGCCTCTCTTCAAACCTCAGCCCTCTGAGCACAGAACCCTCCCCAAGCCTTCCCCAGAGGAGACGGTACCTCTGCTCAGGCTTTCCCCTGGGTCCTCCTCACAGGATCACGGGGGCGGGACTGGTTGCTAGGGTGACCAGGAGCCGCTCTCCACCCCTCCACCCCCCCACTGCCAGCCCAGCTGTGACCCACACCTTCACTCCTAGCTGAGCTCTCCTCAAGAATGTCAACCATCTGCCATTCTAGCTCTTTCTCTCCCTGGAAGAGAGAAAGTCTAAAGTCTGGCTAACTTGTAGTTTCTCCTAAATATATTTAATGACTCATTATGTTTCTTCCAGTAACCAATAACCTTTTCTTCCGTACAATAAATTCCTCTTCTGAACTCTACTCCTCCCCCCATCCAGACTGCCCACTTAGCAAGCCTCGCTTGTGAACAGGAGGAAGGATGTTTAAATGCCATTTTAAAAATCCATCCATTTGGGTTGTTGTACTTAGTTCTTTAACTTAACTTTTATTTGCACCCACCAAGGAGAAAAATAACCCTGGCACGGTCACATTTTACACACTCGGTAGAAATGGTTTATGTTACGCATACGTGTTCATATAGATATATTAGCAACAATAATAAGTGATATTTACTGAATGCTTTGGATACTTCACTGTGCATATTTTTAGTAGTATCTCATTTAATCCTCCCAAGAACCCAATGAAATGGGTCCTATTACCACCCCTACTTCACAGGAGGAAAATGAGGCACAGAGAGACTAAGCCATTTGCCAAAGGCCACACAAGCTTAGTGGTGGAGCCAGGTTATCTGCACTATGTCTTTATCTCTAGTATAATGTCATTATTATGCTCCAATTATTATTCTGTATCTCTTTTATGGTTCCCTCCTCCTATCTTCTAAAGTCAAATGTCGCAAACTTAATTTTGACAGGTCAAAGTCTGAATCTTGGCCATGTCAAGCCATACTCCTGAAACAGAAGTGTACACTCAGAGTTCCTAGAATTAGACCTAGTGATGGTGAGGGACTCCAGCCCCTTGGGGCAGGACAACGGGAAGAGAGTGAGCTAGTGGCAGCATGGCTGGGGCCAAGGTCTCTGAAAGTGGAAACCACAGCGTTGGTCTTCAGCCAGTTCCGCTCTGTTCCTGCCCTTTGGACACCCCGGCCTGTGAGCCTGGCTGGGGCCCCAGCCCTCACATCTCTCCTGGGCTACAGTGAGTTACACCAGCGAGTCCAGTTTGCACCTCTGCTTTGGGAGCGACCCTTAGGAAATGGCCTCATGACGGTGCATAAAGGAATGAGGTGCTATTCATTCCTTCCCTTACAACTGAGTCACAGGTATCTTCCGACATTTACTGTGTGGCCAGCCCTGTGGGGTATATAATGGTCAACAGAAAGGCCACAGTCCTAGCCCTTTCAGAAGCAAAATCTAGTTGCAGAGATAAATAGTGCCAACTTGCAACCGGGCCCCGGGCCATGTGGGCCGTGGTGCTATGAGAGTTTATTACAGGAGGTTTTACTTTAGTAGATCCAGGAGGGCTTCCCTGAAGAAGTGGCATAGGAGCTGAGCTGTGAACAGGAGCAGGGTTAACGAAGAGGGGACAGAAGTGCATTTCAGACAGTGGGAACAGCAGGTGCAAAGGCCCTGTGGGGCGGAGCGAGGCAGCAGGAGTGACTGACAGGGGCCAGGGGGGCTCTGGTGGAGAGAGGGAGGGCGGGCACAGCACCCGAAGAGACTGGAGCGGGGCATGTTGAGGCGTTTAGCTGTTTGGTCTTGACCCTGAGATGGATGGGAAGCTTCCAGAGGGCTCGATTTGAATTTGTAACAACCCCTATGGCTTCGGGGTGGTTGTGAGTCTGGTGCCGGTGGCAGCTCAAAGGCCTGGGGAGGAGGATGAAGGCAGAACCTGGGGAATTAACATCCTGCAGATTAAAAGCCTGCGACTAGGTGTCCTGGCAGGCCCTGCCCAAGCAGGGGTGGGGTGGGATCCCGCCTAGCTCTGCGTTCGGAGAGAAGTTCAGGGCCAGAGCTGACCACGTGCAGGACCCTGGGCGCCTGGCTTTGGAGACACTGTCTCTCCTGGCCCCAGCTCTCCTCCACCACGTGCTGCGAGAGCTCTGCCTGCGGCTCCTGGCTGGAGCGTCTGTGTTGGAAACAGACGGCAAATGTTACCTGGTCCTTCAGCGGGATCCCTTTTCCCATCTTCATTCGGTTTTCCTCTGGGTGATAGTCGTCCGCATCGTAGAATTTCCATCCCAGCTTTAAGAACAAAGTAAAGGGTGTGACAACCACCATTA